GAGGGAAGGACGCCGCGACCCCCAAGCCCGCCCGCGTGTTGGCCCCCTCTGCCTCCTCCTCCTCGTGTGTCCCCCCCCTCTTCCTCCTCCTTTCCCGCTCACGACTATAAATATTGCATCATGCACCACGCTGAGCAAAATGGACTCCCAAGCTCCGGGCATGTGGCTGAGCGCCTAAGCACATGTCGACCCGCGCCGTTCTGAACACAAGACAGCCGGGCCAAGCCGGATCCGGGCGCAGGACTCCACGGCCCCGATGGCCGGCAGAAGGCAGCTGGGCGGGCGGTCACGCTGCCGCCCAAGAGGCATCCAACTCTCCCGTTCGGGCCACTCCCGCGAGGTTGTTCCCGATCAACTTTATCGCGGCTGGAAGGAGAAAGGGCAGGGGAGGAGGGGAGCGCGTTCACACACTCACCTTGGCGGTGCCCGAATCCGGAGAAGTTCCCGCTGAAGTGATGGCCGCAGCCGGCAGGGGAGAGCTGCTTTGGGCGGCAAGGTGCGTGAGGAACAAGCGGGAGCGCCGGCTGCTGTAGTGGCGGCAGGAGGAGAAAGCCAAGGAGTAGCCGCGGCTGCTGTTGGAACTGACAGGAGTGTGTACTACCTCGCCGGCGCCCGCGTCTTACAACCGCTCCCCCGGGCTCTTGGAGTGGCCTGGCTCCTCCTCTCTTTCGTGAATGAAGAAGGGGGGAAAAGCCGAGGGCGGAGGAAAGGGAGCGCCGGGGAAGGGCCGCCTCCTTCTCCACCTCCACCAGCATGCGAGTGGGCAGGCGTCCCCGCCGCTGGCAGAAAGGGATGGCGGGCTCGCAGGAGGAGGAGAAGGGCAGCTCGAGGGGCTGGAGGGACGAGGGCCAGCTGCTCTTTTCGCCTGGCTCGGATCACCGGGGAGGCCGGCCTCCGGGGCGCGCGTAAAAGGGGCAGGAGCGCGCGGCGCTGTCGTATCAACAATCCCGCCCGAAGGTGTGTCTGAGGGCAGGGCCGTGGCCCGGTGGGGTGGGAAGCGCGCCGCCCCCGCACTTACGCACACCCACCTGGGGGTGGGGGTGCCTGGCTACCGGAGGGCAGCGCCGCTTGGTTGCTTTCCCACGTCCTCGGGGCGGGGCGGGGGCTCTGAGAAGGGGAGAGAAAGAGAAAAACGTCCGAACAAACGATAAGCTGCTCCATAGCATAAGGGCGGGGGGATTGCTCCTCAAGGCCAGGTAGCTTTTCCAGTTGCAAAACGGGATGACTGCGTTGACACCTGTGTTATCATTCTGGTCAGATCCTCGCATTTATTTATTAAAACTTCTATTCCGCTTTTTGGGACAGACGTAGCCACTCCACTCATACCAACGGTTTTCAGATTTTAAAAACGAGAAGCCAATGTTGGATCAGGCCAATGGCCCATCTAGTCCAACACTCTGTCACAGTGGCCAAAAATACCAGGTGCCCTCAGGAGGTCCAGCAGTGAGGCCAGCACCTAGACAGATAACAATGACAGAAAAACCAGGAAAGACTATTCAAACTTTTGAAAATTCTAGAACGAATTTAGAGGCCAGCGGCACCCTTAAGACCAGCAAAGTTTTATTCAAGGTACCAGCTTTTGTGTGCACGCACACTTTTTCAAATACATTGGAATGGAAGGCAAGGTTCAGACTTATAGACAGGAGCTGAACAGCAAATTAACCTGTCACATGAGGAAGATGTTTTAAGATATGCAAAGACAAAACTAAATAACAAGCTAAGGTTATAAGTTCAATAGCTATAAAGCAATAAGTATGTCAACATAAGACTGAGACTCTCCATTCACTTCTCTCAGTTTCATATGGAGAGCTTTTTTTATTTGTTTCAGCGTGTGCTCAACTTCCTGAGTTTAATGGAATTTTAAAAATATTTGTGGCTGGAGCAGTGCCCATATTATTTTTTAAAATACCATTCAAAAAACCACGGCAGGATAAACGTATCATTAAAATATCTATTGAACAAGGCCTCTTTAATGGATACAATGAGGAAGAAGAGGTTTTATTGGAGGAATGCTATTTTAATCTGTCACCCACTGCACTTGTTGAAAGATAATAATTTCTTATTCCCAAAACTCAAACATCTTCTACAGTTGTCATATAAGATTTAGAGAAACAACTCCCTTTTCTCTAAGTCTTATATAATGTGACATAGATGCTTGGTCCAGTCATTGTCTCAGCCGAACAGGCACACACAAGAAAACACAAAGCTGCCTTATACTGAATCAGAGCCGTAGTCCATCAGATTTAGTGCTGTCTACTCAGGCTGCCTCTCCAGGGTCTCAGGCAGAGGTCGTTCACATCACCTCCTATCGGATCCTTTCAACTGGAGATGCCGAGATTGAATCTGGGACATTCCGCATGATGAACAGACACTGTACCATGCCCCTCCCTAGCCACACACCCTCCCCTACCTCACAGGGTTGTAGTGAGCATACTGAAGGAGAGGAGAATGATAGAAGCTGCTTTGGATCCCCATTGGGGAGAAAGGCAGGATATGAAATAAATAAATTTGAACAGCACCTTAGACTGAATGGTTGATAGCGCTACAAAATGGACCAAGGGACACACCAGGGTTGAGGGGATTTCTATACAAACTTGAAGGAAGTCCCAGAAAATTCTGAAATAAAAAAAAAATACATCAGGGGATTACAGAAACACCACCTGTAGCTTTAAGAAAATAATGCCCACTGGAGTCTCTCTGATTTTGAGGGGTTGCTAGGCAATCACAACAATATTGCCAAGCCTTGGTTTCTGTAAAACAAAGCCGGGGGGGGGGGAGAAGCAGGAGTGAACTGGGAGGCTGAAACAATCCTGGAAACACCCCCCCCCACTTCCACTGTCATGTCTCCTGATGGAAGAGGACATTCCTGCAACAGGCCCAGCAGGGACTACCAGAAGCTTACTGCCCACGCAACTTGGGCCATGGGTCCAGCTCAGCCCAGCAGTAGCCACCACACCACTGAGTCCAACCCATTGCTGAAGACCACCAGGCAAAGTGACCAGACCTTTCCTGGGGAGAGGCTGCTAGGGGTAGGGGAAGAGGAAAAGTTGAATAAATATGAGGGGGGTCATAAGGTAGAGTGGCTGGAAAAAGTAAAAAGGAGAGAATCATAGAATTATGGAATGTTAGAGTTGGAAGGGACCTTGCAGGTCATCTAGTCCAACCCCCTGCACTCTGCAAGAGCATAGCCGAAAGATAGCCCTACAACATACCCGAAAGATGGTCGTCCAGCCTCCACTTGAAAACGTCCAGCGAAGGAGCATCCACCACCTCCCAAGGCAGTCTGTTCCACTGCTCAATCACTCCTATAGTTAGGAAATTTGTCCTGATATTTAGCTGGTAATGACTCCCTTGTAATTTCCACCTATTAGATCTAGTCTTGCAGTCCAGAATCTTCTCCATGACAGCCCTTCAAATACTTGAAGACTACAATCATGTCCCCTCTAAGCCTTCTCTTTCCCAGGCTAAACATACCCAATTCTTTCAGCCTTTCCTCATAAGACTTGGATTCCGAGAGCTTCCGGTCAATTGTGACACACTAGCAGACGCCTTTCCCGGACCTCCAGGAGGCGATCTGTGCGCCAGCGGTAAGGAGGGGTGCGATTGTCCATCACCCACCCACCCAGAGCCTGTGCGAAAGGCTCTTTGCCATGGGGCTTTGAAAGGGTGGCCTCTTCGTCAGAGCGATGCTGGTGAATTGAGGCGCTCTCCTGCCCTGATGGTCCTGCCGCTGCTGCGTCCGCATGGAAACAGGGCCGCCGGCCGGGACAAGCGTTGGAGATCAGGCAATTTAAACGTGATCAGGCGAGGACTACAGACTAACAATGAACTGTAAGTCAAGTGAAATCAAAATGCCGAAAATCTAAAAGAAAGCACCCTGGGAACGGCGAGATGAGCCGAGTGTGGGAGGGCCCCCTCCCACACGCATAACTAAAGCAGTGATTCCTCAAGGAGGGATGAAGCATAAACATTGAAATAAGTTTTGAGAGACTTACTAGAGCATAGAAAAACGTTTGGGCAAATTTCAGAGACTTTAGGAAGTTCTACTAAAAGTAAATAATCCACAATCCTGGTGGGGGGAAAAACGGAGAAAGAAAGGCAAGCAAAACTGAAAGTAATGGGGAGCGGGAGTCCCCAGATGGAAGATTCTACAGGGCTTTCCAAACTCTTAGCAGACACCATGCGCCCTCTACTGGACCAGATGACAAACATTAATCAGCAGCTGACAATTTTAAACCAAAACCTTGAAGATCAGCAGCTCCAACTGGCTGAAACCACAAAAAAGATGGAGCAAACAGCTGAGAAAGTGAAGGAAATAGACGATAAGACTATAAGAGTTAAGAAAAAGGTTCAAATGCTGGAAAAGAAACAAGCCTCAGATGAACTTCAACTTTTACAGCTGCAAATGGAGAAAGCCAACCTAATCCTCCGATTCCAAGGGGTCCCTGAGGTGAAAGGCGAGAATCTAAAACAACGTCTGAGTTGTTAGCTCCAGTTACAGATTTAAAAGCGGAATATCTTGTAAGCAAAATGGATGTGGTTTACAGAACCTACTCTGTCTACATCACGAAAAATAATCTGCCTGGAGAGATTGTGGTTAGATTCTCGAACAGACATGTGAGGGACTTAATCTTGAAAGCAACTACAGGATCACCTCGAAAAATGGGAGGAAATACCATCAGAATTCTAAAAGATATCCCATTTGAAATAAGGAAGAAGAGGAAGAAGTATAAAGACTTAATATTGTTTTTGCAAATGAACAGCATTGCCTACAGATGGTTCACCCCCGAGGGCGTCACCTTCAAAATACAGGATAAAAAAGAAAATATTGACTCTGTTTTTAAAGCGTGAGAGTTCCTGAGACAGCAACTGGGAGAGCAGGGAGAGGACGCTGGGGAGGAAGACGATAGTAAATTCAGTGATGGAAAGGACTCTGTGACTTCCGGAGAGGACTCTGCTTCTGAAAAAGGGCCAGCCGCCCCCAAACGAGAATACCAACTGAGGATAAGAAAGGATAAAGATAAATAAAGGCTGAAGGACTCTGAATTGTGCCTAAAAACATCTATTTTTTACAATGCTCTGGGAATGTTCTTAAAGCAGTTAAAAGATTGGCTAAAAAGATAATATGTTAGCATGTATAACCATGTTCTATGTAACTTAAGCATTTTAGATTAATACTGATACAAGCGATTGTAATGATCTCCTATACTTGGGGTTTTAGTTATTAGTGGTTTTCTTTTCTTTCTCCATAGATATAGCTTTCCCCCTCCCTATTCTTTCATTGTAGTTTGTAGTTTATAGAAAATGCAATTTTAAAAAATCCCCCTCGGGGGTTTAAAAAAAAAAAAGACTTGGATTCCAACCCTCTCACCATCCTGGTTGCCCTCTTCTGGACACGCTCGAGCTTGTCAACATCCTTCCTAAAATGTGGTGCCCAAAACTGGACACAATACTCCAGGTGAGGCCTGACCATAGCAGAATAGAGCAGAACTACCACCTCCC